ATTTGAACCCGCCACCTTAGGTGTATGTGGCTGGCGCCTTAGCCGCTTGAGCCACAGGCGCCGAGCCAGAGAAATGTTTCTTGAATGGGAGAGTCAATTAATATGACAGACGTCACTGGTACCTTTTTTTTAAGAAATTGCTACAGCTACCGCATCATGCAGCAACCGCTGCCCTGATCAGTCAGCAGCTGTAAACATTAAGGTGAAATGTTTCACCAGCAAAAAGATTATGACTTGCCACAGTTTCAGATGATTGTTAGTATTTCTTAGCAATAAAGTATTTTAAAATTAAGGTAAATGGATTTAAATTTAATTTTTAGATGTGATGCTATTGCACACTGAATAGATTATCATATAGTGCAAACATAACTTTTTTATGTATGTGGAAGCAAAACAATACATGTAATTTGCTTTATTGAGATAATTTGTTTTATTGCAGTGTTCTGGAATCAAACCCCAAATATCTCCTAGTAAATCTATATGTGGGACGGGAAATAACAGAGGATATGTATACCCTAGCGTAGCATAACAAGGTCATTGGTCCTCAAATTTGGAAGGTATAATGGGCCTTGTGCTCCATCTTAGAGGCAGGCGGAACAACTAGTTATGACTTGCCTCTTGTTATGGTTTCCTTCCTCTGAATCGGTATGAGCCTTTCCTGGGCATTCACATTAGATAGAACAAGGCTTGGGGAGCTGTTTTTAACTTAAAAAAAAAAATACCATATCAAAACCAAACAAGTAAAACACAATGGGCAGTTGCTTTTCAGACTCTTTGACATTCTGTCAGATCCGTGTAATAGTGCTAGACAGTGCATGTATAACAGTAGCTGTGATATACACCTTAGTCTAGTGTAATAAAGATGAAGGCAAATAAATTTTTAAATGTAGCTGCAAAAGCAGATTAGCAAGACATAAATAAACATTGTGAAGTACAAAATGCTTAGGCTCTGGGGTCAGGTAGACTGGGGTTTGGATCTTAACCCTGGTACTTATTACTTAGGTACTCCTGGACAAGTGATTTAACTTTTTTAAGCTACATAGTTTCCACTTTGAGAAGTGGGGACAATAAAACTGTTAAATAAAATACTATATAAAGTTGTTGTAATAACTCATTCTTACTGCCAGGCACAGTTCTAAGCGCTTTGAACATAGTAACATATGTAATCCTCTTAGTTAACTCTCGATGGATTTTTTTGTGAGCCCCATTTTACAAATGAGCAAAGTGAAGCATTTGCCCAAGTCATACCTGTCAATAAGTAATGGGGTTGGGAGGAGATGAAAAGGGTTATACCCAGATCATCCAGTTGGAGCACCGTCACCACTTCTGAGTACTGTCTCGCCAGCCAGAACAGTCTCTCATACTTCATAGGTTCCTATCCAAAGCCAGTCAGTCTTTGAGGAGATTAAAAAGACATTTGTAGTGGTAAAAAGATTAAGGACTACTGTAATAATCTTCTATTCGGTGAAGTGGCAGCCAGAAATTTTATTTTAAAAATGAGACAGGGTGGGCTCGGCACCCATACCTCAGCTGTTAGGGTGCTGGCCACATACACCAAGGCTGGCAGGTTCAGACCCAGCCCGGGCCTGCCAAACAACAATGACAACTGCAATAACAACAAAAAAGCCAGGCATTGTGGCAGACCTGTAGTTCCAGCTACTTGAGAGGCTCACACAAGAGAATCCCTTAAGCCCAAGAGTTTGAGGTTGCTTGAGCTATGATGCCACAGCACTCTACCATGGGCAACACAGTGAGACTCTGTCTCAAAAAAAAAAAAAAAAAAAAAAAACCAAGATAAGGGTGATAATTGTCTATCATATAAATAGAGATGTGATTACATGGACTATGAACTGCGTTTAAACGTTAGCGGCTCCCTTATAAGTGCCATCATGGTTTAGAATTTGACAGTATTCCATCTGTTCATGAAAGCAACAGTTTTCCGTAGACAAACAAAACCTCACTTATTTTTCCAGTCATTATTAATGAAACATAGTCACTTGACCTGTCATAAGGCAGGACGTAAAATATGCTTTTTGATTCTGTTTTTTCCTGCGTAAGAGAAACATCCACACTCAGCATTTGGAAGTCCTCATAGAATTTTAGACCTGGAGGAGGAAACCGAGACCCACATGGTCGAGTAACTTGCCCAGATCCACGTCTAGCAGCAGCACATGATCACCTGGTTCCTTGTGCACGGCCTGCGGCCAGGCTGGTCTCTGCCATTTTGGATACTTGAAGGGACTTCAGCAACATGATTGAGTTCTTCAGATGCCTAATGAACACATGATACATGAAAAGTCTTGTGCTAAGTACTTAGGAAAAGAAAATTTAAATTTCTTACCTCAGTCACAGGAAACAGACATATAAACAGACAATTGTGATATAGACGAGTATTACAGTTGAGGTACTATTCCTTTTTTAACCTTATATTCTGTCATTCTACTAAGATGACAAACTTCTTAAAAGACCCAGCTTTCTTCGTGTCCTCCAAGTGCTTTGCACCAATGATACTATAGACTTACAGAAGGAGGGAACAGGTAACTTATAAAATAGTTCCAGGAAACCCTTGGTCCTGATAAAATAAGCAAATAATAAATAAAATGTAGTCATGAAACAGCTCAAAACATGTTTAGAAGTTTTCTGTAAATAACACTAACACAGCTAACGTTTATGAACTAAAAGGTGACTTGTATAGTTAGGCGATGATACACATGTGCATGGGTGTTGTATTGTATGTATATATTAAGGCACTTTTTCTTGCTATATCTACAGAGCAAGTGATAATCAAGTTACTATGAGTCTGCTAAACTGTGAAAACAGCTGTGGAGGCAGCCAGTCTGAAAGCGACTGCTGTGCCGCCATGGCCAGCTCCTGTAGTGCCGCTGCGAAGGATGACAGCGTGAGTGGGACTGCCAGCACAGGGAACCTCTCCAGCTCCTTTATGGAAGAGATCCAGGGATTTGATGTGGAGTTTGACCCACCCCTGGAAAGCAAATATGAATGCCCCATCTGCTTAATGGCATTACGGGAACCCGTGCAAACACCATGTGGCCACAGATTCTGTAAAGCCTGCATCATAAAATCGATAAGGTACGTGAACATAAGAAAGACAGTGTCCTAGAACAGAACCAGATGCAGACCATGTTACTGCATAGAACCCAGGTCATTCTAAGAGTAGCCTTGTATGTAAAAGGCTACCTACGAAAAAAGAACACTAGACAGAACATTTAGAAAGATTCTTATCCCAATCGTTACTATGGTGTGAAAGGTGAATTTTTCTTTCTCTTTTTCTTTTTCTTTGTCTTCTCCCCTGGCCCCTGGATAAATAAGTAAATAAATACCTACTTCTCAAAGCAATTCTAATTGCAGACCGGGGGTTGACTCTGTGCCTTAAAGAAAATAATATTTTTAAATGTACCTTAGATGATGATTATGGTATTAATTACATTATGTTAGTCTTAACCATATAAAGAATGCTAACTCTGTAAGTGATCAGTTATTCCAATTTTAGCCACATCAAATTCTGTTACCTAATGTCCATGCGCAGCTATAAAATAATCACTGTGTTTATTAAAAGTTTTAACTGAAGGCAGCCTTTGTAATATATCCCTTCTCACTTCCTCCACTTCTTCTACCCTGCTGTGAATCACCATTCGCTCTCTAACAGACCTCCCTGCTTTCCACTCTTGTCATCCGTGCTGTTCTCAATACAACAGCCAGAGTGAACCTTGTAGAATAAGTAAGATGATGCCATCTCTGCCCAGAACATTGTAGTGGCGCATCTGGGAGTAAAAGCCAGTCTTTGATAGGCCCTGTGGGATGGGCCCATGATTGACCTGTGGACCTCCTCTACTACAGTCTCTCCTTCCACCTGTTCCCTCTTTGCTGTTCCTTGAACATGTCAAGCATGCTCCTGCCTTGGAGAGTGACTTGACTTGTTCTCTCTGCTTGGAACACTGTTGCCACAGCTAAGCCCTAAAGTCCCTCCAGTGTGGCTCGGATCTCACCTTCTCATTGGCCTGCTGGCCACCTTGTTCATCTGTGGGCATGCCTCTACCCTGCTCTCCCAGTATGCCCAATCTCTCTTACCAGGCTCTACTTTTCTTTTTTCTGGAGCACTCTCTGCCTTCTAAAACACCAGAAAGTTTATATTTATTGTCTGCTCCCCTGCTGGAAGATAAGCTCCTTGTGAGTGATGCTTTAGATCTGTTTCGTTTCTTGCTATTTCCCAAGTGCCAGGAACAGTGTCTGACTCACAGTAGGTACTCAGTGAATCATGGTTGGGTTTGTTGTTGTTGTTGTTGTTGAGACAGAGTTTCACTTAGAGTGCCATGGCATAGCTCACAGCAACCACAAACTCTTGGGCTCAAGCGATCCTCTTGCCTCAGCCTCCTGAGTAGCTGGGACTATAGGCACCTGCCATAACTCCCAGCTATTTTTAGAGATGGGGTCTTGCTCTATCTCAGGCTGGTCTAGAACTCCTGAGCTCAGGCAACCTACCCACCTCAGCCTCCCAGAGTCCTAAGATTACAGGCGTAAGCCACTGCGCCTGGCCTTTCATGGTTGTTTTAACTGAATGAAGAAGTATGTGGTATTTCCACCAAGGAGTCAAATCATCTTCTAAGAAATAGACACATTTTGCTATTTCAGAGGTAAATGGGAATATTTTTAGGTGACCAAGGAGTGCTATACACAGCAAAAAAAAAAAAAAGAAAAGAAAAAAAAAACCCCTGCATATAGGAGAAAAGATTTTATGTTCTTCAATACATAGCCATCTGGTTATATTAGTGAAATTCTTAAGTAGGTTGAGTCCCATCCCTGGAAATTCATTAGTCTCCTAAGTTTTTATTTCTCAACTTTTTACATTAACTTTTCTATAAAACTGAAATTTAGAATAACTATAACAATACTCAAGACTTGGCTCAGTTTAAGTTACGAGGAATCATTTCTCTTGTTTCAGTGTTGGAGAAAAATGTGTTACCCAGTGTCGACAGGATCTGTTTAGAGTAGATTTTCTCAACCTTGATTGGTATTTCGGGCTCCTTGTTGATATTCTGGGCTGGTGGTTCTTTGTTGTGAGAGAACGTCCTGTGTGTAGTAGGTTCTGCAGCAGCACCACCGGCCTCTGCTCTGTAGACGTTGGTCATGTCTGTCCTCTTCTCCCCCAGTTGGGAAACCCAAGATGTCCCCGGCAAGGCAAAATTGGCCCTTGTCAAGACTGCTGATTTAGGGTACACATGAAAGCAGTATTAAAGGCTCTACTTTTTTCTGTTTATAATGATTTTTATTTATGTTGTATTTAGGTAAATATTGTACCATCTTATGGATCACTGCTTTTCCTGTAGGTAGAAATGTGCAGTGTTTTACCAAGTGTCAGCTATGCCCCAGAAAGAAGATAATCTTCAGCTTTTTAATAGTAAGATATTCATGAAAGTAGAGGGACAGTGGTCTGAAAGGGAAATAAAACCCACAAAAGGAAGTCAGAGTGCCTTTTTTTTTTATCTCCCTCTAAGCTAGAAATGACTACTTTCTTTAAGCTCTAATGTTTTTAAAGGAACTGCCTTGAAATTTCTTATTAGTTATATTCATTCAAGGTCTCAAAATTTCAATCTAATTTCATTTTCTTTGGGAGTGATTGCTAATTCTGTAGATAACAGCTTTCAGTTTACTGCATAGGATTCTTCTTTTCTCTTAGACATGCATCGCTTTAGATTTAGGGGTACATTTTTCAATAAACTTGTTTATGGCTTTTCTTCTCTGCACAGTTGACGGTGTAATTAATAACATGATGCAGTTTGAGCGAGGCCCCATAAAGAACAGCTCTATCTTACTCCTTTATTAGTGTTAAGCCATTTGACATTAGACACTTTTTTAATTACTTTTTTACCTGTCACAGTACATTGCACTGTTGAGTACATAGAACAAATGTTTCATTGATTAAAGCCTCATAGCCCACCCAACCTGTTGCATTTTGTGTGTGAAGATTGAGATATCCCCAAAAGTTAAAGGGGATTAACAGACACCCAGGCTTCCTGAAGATGTTTTTTTCCATCATAAGACAAAATAAGCCATTGGGAAGCAAGACACAGAGGTACTATAACTCCTGATCACTGTTCCCTAGACATACAAGTAAAGCAAAACTTTTGTTGTCCATGACCTGGAGTGTTGTAGCTTTCTCACAGTAAGCCCTTAAAATGTGACCTCATAAGGGTACTGCTAATTGGTTTTTACCTATGACTGAGCGGTATACTATAGACATGTTATTAGTATTGTCAACAGCATATTCCATCTTGCCAATGTATTGTATAGGTGATGATAGAACAGAGGTCAGCCAGACCGCCAAACTTCCCACTCTTGACTTTCACTTCAATTTATGCCAATCAAAATATAATTTTATTCAGTTAGGGTTTTTTTTTTTCATTTTTTAGCTGAAATCTATCCCACAATCTAAAATTCTGTAACTGTCAATAAGTAATCCACGTGGTATTAGTTGTACTAACAGGAGCTATCCATAAAATGGACAATTTATTTTGATGACATTATTCAGTATAATGTGTTAAATAATTTTTCCTTAGGAAATAATGGAGAGTTTCTATACATCATATATTAAAAGCATATATATGTGTAAGTTAGCATTATATAGAATGTAATTTTAAATATTTTCTAACGTGAATGTGCAAATCTACTAATGGACATACCTTGTTTTGTTTTCATCAGGGATGCAGGTCACAAGTGTCCAATTGACAACGAAATACTGCTGGAAAATCAACTATTTCCTGACAATTTTGCAAAACGAGAAATTCTTTCTCTCACAGTGAAGTGTCCAAATGAAGGTTGTTTACACAGGATGGAACTGAGGCATCTTGAGGTATTAAAAGTTATTTTTGGCTCGGCACCTGTGGCTCAAGCGGCTAAGGCACCAGCCACATACACCTAAGGTGGCAGGTTCGAATCCCCAGCCCAGGCCTGCCAAACAACAATGATGGCTACAACCAAAAAAAAAAAATGGCCGGCGTTGTGGCGGGCGCCTGTAGTCCCAGCTACTTGGGAGGCTGAGGCAGGAGACTCACTTGAGGCCAGGAGTTGGAGGTTGCTGTGAGCGTGATGCCATGGCACTCTACCCAGGGGGGATAGCTTGAGGCTCCGTCTCAAAAAAAAAAAAAAAAAAAGTTATTTTCAGACAGTACCTGTGGCTCAAGAAGTGGGGTGCCGGACCCATATACCAGAGGTGGCAGGTTCAAACCCAGCCTGGGCAAAAAAAATAAAAACGTTATTTTCTAGCTGTTAGTGTGAATAAGAGTCACTTTAATAGGGACTTTACTGCGTCCATTTGTGTATTACCATTACCTAGCATATAATAATTGGTTAATAAATTCTTGCTCAATTAATACCAACCCTTGTTCACTGAAGATAAAGGTAAATAGAAACCAGAAATTTCTTATTTCTACTATTCTTGCTTTGCCCCAGCATTAATTTTTTAAAAATACCAGTGTTCTTTTACAAAAGTTTTTTGGGTGAGCATTGTCTGCAGTAAAACAAGAAAGGAGCATTTTAAATACAAGTGTCAAACATCTTAATCTTATAACTTCAGTTCTTTCATTTTGAAATAAGCAGTAAGTCCCATATAGTCATCATCTCAGTATTCTCTCCTTATTTTTTCTAAATTTTGCATTTTGTTATGTGCTAAGTGGAATACTCCTTTAGTTTGAGATTAACTGAAGCAATCAGATAATAAAAGAATTTCCTTTTAAATTAAATAAATCAGTTCTTAGCTTGGTGATTTTTACTAGTAAATAAGTGTTATTAACATTCTGTTTTAAATTAAATGTTTAAGACACTTGCAACTTTCTTCTTTGACTCGGTTCTTTTTAAAAGTGTGGCCTTTCTGTACTGATTACCAGTAGTAAATTGGTAATCAGGAAATCTGACTTCTTGCCAACTTTCTTCCCTAATTAGATGCATGAACTTGGTATAAAGTTGTAGTCCATATTTATTCCTGGAAAAATTCATTAAGCCTTTCATATTGTGAATGGCTCAATGTTATGCCTCAGACAAAGTAGGTTCAGTAGCCAGTTCTATAGAAGAGAATATGTGCATATATTCTTAGAAGAAATTATATTTAGAAGACTTAATCAGAGTTGACAACTACTAATCACTTTTTTTTCTTATTATAGGATCATCAAGCATACTGTGAGTTTGCTCTTATGAATTGTCCCCAATGCCAACGTCCTTTTCAAAAATGTGAAATTAATGTTCATATTCTCAAGGATTGTCCAAGGAGACAGGTTTCTTGTGCAAATTGTGCTGAATTGATGCCATTTGAAGATAAAGAGGCATGTACTGATTTGGATTTGTTAATTCACTATTTTAAAAAAATTTTTAATGTATATTTGAGAGGGTTACAAGATAAGGGTGTGACTTCAACTCTGAGTCGATGTTATCAATTTTGGGAAATAGATTTTTAAGACAGAAAATTGAACCAGTTAATAGTTTCTATGTATATATTTTTCTTAGAAAATGTTGTTTATACTAGTTGCCACTATTGTAGATCTGCACGTTAACAAAAGCTTGAAGGCAAGGCATATGCTGATTAACTTTTCTTTGTGATGTTTAATGATTGATCTTGGATTGGAGACAAACCAGTAGAATGATTATAACACTTATACAGCATTATTTTGAAAATGAGAATGGGTTGTTACAGCTGTTAAAAAGAGTAAGTTAAGAGCGGCACCTGTGGCTCAGTGAGTAGGGCGCCAGCCCCATATACCAAGGGTGTTGGGTTCGAGCCCAGCACTGGCCAAACTGCAACAAAAAAATAGCCGGCCGTTGTGGCGTGCACCTGTAGTCCTGGCTACTTAGGAGGCTGAGGCAAGAGAATTGCCTAAGTCCAGGAGTTGGAAGTTGCTGTGAGCTGTGTGATGTCACGGCACTCAACCGGGGGCAATAAAGTGAGACTCTGTCTCAAAAAAAAAAAAAAAAAAAGAATAATTTAAATGCCACAAATTGTGGTTCCTTGCTGATAATGTATCATGCTATAGAGCTACGTGTATATATATATATATACACAGTGTATTCACTTTTCAGTACATATGTTATGCTTCAATTAAAAAGTATCTTTTAAAAAGAAACTTTAGGATGCCTGACAGTTTCATGAAGAAATTGTACTGTCTTATGGATCATTGCTTTTTAAAAAATCAACTGGCTCAGTGCCTGTAGCTCAGCGGCTAGGGTACCAGTCACATACACTGAAGCTGGCGTGTTCAAATCCAGCCCGGGTCTGCCAAACAACAGTGACAAGTACAACCAAATAAAAGTCAGCTAACTTGCTAAAAATGTAGAGAAGTCCCAGCCAAATTTAGAGCAAATTGACTTGTTTCTCAACTTCAGTAAATTAGATGAACTTAACTTTGAAGGTTAATTGTGTCTCATTACATCAGCTAAACTAAAGTCAATGTAATTCTGGAAAACAAAGTTCACTCTTCTAGGACATGCGAAGGCCTGGGCACTTAAACTCTTATGCCCTAATGTACATTTGTTCTTTAATCTTACTGATAAGAATTTTAATTAAATTGTCATGCAATTGCTGAAAAATTTTGTAAGAAAAATGATAGCATTGGTAGATGATATCCAAAGTAGTCACAGATGTTTTACCCCTGAGGAAGTGATTTTAAATATTCTTTTTTATGTACTACCATATTCTCTTAATTAAATAACTGAAATAATTAATAACTGAAAGACTAGATGAATCTCATTATTGGCGAAAAGAAGGAAAATATCCTTTACGTTATATATTACTTGCACATTTTTACTTTACATAAATCAGTGTTCTTAATTTGTTCATAGTGAAAACATTACTTCTTATAAAAATTGGTGATTTTACTTTTTCATATTTTCTCATGCTTTTCTTATATTTTTCTCATAAATTTAGATCCATGATCAGACCTGTCCTTTGGCAAATGTCATCTGTGAATACTGTAATACCATGCTCATCAGAGAACAGGTACCATGATTCTCATTCATAAATTAATATTTTCATAAGTGGCTTAAACAATGAGTTAGTTTCTTAGCTGAAAATGTAATAAGTTAAAAGGAATACAGGTTGAAGAAGTATTAGAGCTGTGTGAAATTTTTTTTCCTTTTTTTATTGAGCAATAATAATTATGCCAAAAAAAGTAACGTTCACATTGTCAGATAAGAGTATGTCTATCATAAAATGCTTTGATTCTGTGGTTCAGTAGTTTATATTTTTTATATAAATTAATAAATACTTTCAGAAAGAACAAAATATCCGGCCTTTTTTAAGTACTTAAAATTTTTTAAGTCATTAACATAATGTCTGTGTTTTTGTATATTCATGAAAATTTCCAGTAACACTAGATAATTGTAAGATTACAAAAAAAACACAAAAGGGGCCCCATTTAAAGAAAGAACAAACTTTAAGAAATACATGTTTATATACTATGAAATGAGGACCTTAGGTGTCCAGAGACCTGTGAATAAGAGGAAGTGATAAAGTAAAAGAAATCAAATCTATCCAGTAGTAGAGCATTATTCATAGCTGTAGCCCCTGAGGCAAGTAGGGAAGTGTCCAGGACTTACAGCTCTTGTGTTCAGTTGTCCTGTAGGCACCCGATGTGGCATCATTAGAAGTAGTAGTTATGATAGAAAACTATATGTTTTGATTGTTAATAGAGAAAGGAAAATTCCATCTGATTGCTATCTTCTGACATTTGGGGAGTTTACCCACAAAATATGAATATTAGTCACTGAATACATGCATTTATATACCTATGAAATCTGTAAACCCAGAGATGATCATTGATTTACCTTAACTAAGTAGAAAGCAAGCAAGTTCTGTCTCTCAACTAAACTTTTCCGTTTGTCTGTTAATAGAAGCTCTTAGTTTTTTCTGAGAAAGCCTTAATTTGAAGGTGTTAAGCCTCTTTTTGCTTTGAAGTCTCACCTCCTTGGTTTTCATTTTTGTTCTTTTTTAATATTTAAAGGAAACCATCCAGCATATTTAAGAACCAGCAAAGATAAAATTTAATGTAGGAAAAAACATTAGACTAAGAGTCAGAAAACCAGGTTTTGATCCTGACTGTGCTACTAACTTGCCCTCTAATCTCTGGCAAATTGACATGCTAGATAAGGGACCAGCAAACTGACGAACTACCTACATCTGTCCAATACATTTTTACTCTAAATAAACTTTTTTTTGAGACATAGGCTCACTTTCTTGCCCTCAGTAGAGTGCTGTGGCATCATAGCTCACAGCAACCTTGAACTCCTGGGCTCAAGTGATCTTTGCCTCAGCTTCCCAAGTAACCAGGACTACAGGCCCTGCCACAACGCCTGGTTAGTTTTTGGAGACTGGGTCTCACTCTTGCTCAGGCTGGTCTCAAATGCATGAGCCTAAGTGACCCACCCACCTGGGTCTCCCTGAGAGCTGGGATTATAGGTGTGAGCCACCACACCTGGCTCTAAATAAATTTTTACTGGAACATAGCCGTGCCCACATGTATATATTGCAAGTAGCTGTTTTTTTTTTTTTTTTATACAATAGTGGAGTTAAGTAGGGTACTTAGAACACAGAGACCATACAGCCCACATTTACTATTTAGCCCAGTACAGAAAATTTTGCTGACCTTGTTCTAGATTGTTTGTTTTTGAGAAATGAAAGTTGAGTTAAATGATCTCTAAAGTTCTTGTATGTTACAAGTATAGTCTAACTAAATTTCTGAAGGAAATTGGGTATCACTTTCAAAGTGTGTGATTCTGCATAATGGATGTGGCCCTTAAAGAATGTATCTTAGAGTCCCCAAATCATGGACTGAGACTTGATTCATTAATGTGCTTTGAAGTACCTTCTAACAGATCTGAGTCTCCTCACTGTAGCTAAAATGTTAATAAAAAATAAGATGATTAATGAAAGGTGGTCTTGAGGGAAGTAATGGATGTGGTCATTGGTTTCAGTGCTTGTCATTGACTGGTTCCTATTAAATGGCCTAGACCACAGGGAAAGTCCTGATTGAGTTTGTCAAAGTTGGAATTGTCATAAGGTGTTTTTTCTCTAAAATGCCACTAGAGGGTGCCATTTCCTACCAAGAGGAACACATTCATTTGCTTGAAATGAATTTTGAGTAATTTGCAGGGGGATGTTATTAGATGGTGATATTTTAATCTTTCTGGGTTATATAATTTATGTCTATTCATGGCACAAAAGCAACTGTTGACAATACGTAGCTTTGTTTAGATGACACGTGCATTTTCATTTTAAATGTGAGCTCATCACATGAGATGCAAGGAAAATCATTTTTCAACTTTTTTTTGTTTGGATTTTAGATGCCTAACCATTATGATCTGGACTGCCCTACAGCCCCAATTCCGTGCACATTCAATACTTTTGGTTGTCATGATAAGGTAAGTTTTTTTTTAATTTTAATTCTTGAATATAAATCAGGAATATTCATTTATATATAGTAGAGTGGAGAATACCAGCAAGAGTATAAATGTTGATTACACAGTATGATAAGTTGTTTAGTAGAGCCATAATTGGATGCCATGGAGGAAAAGAAAGGTACATTTATCTATGCCTAAGGCATTCGGGCAATCTTGATGAAACGTGATGTTTGGGCTGAGTCTTGACAGATGAAAAACATCTACAAAGACAAGGGAGAGAAGACTGATGAGAGAGAGTGAGCAGGGTGCTTTGGGGAGCTACAAGTAGTTTGTTTTATGTGATTCAATCTGGTAATAATGTATATGATTTGAGGTGGGATGGGGATGGCAGTACCTGAGCTGTTGGAATACCAAGACCTCAAATGAGGACAGCGTGGACTGTAGTGATCACAGTGAAGATAGAGCTAAGAGCCAGTACTTATTTAGGAGGGGAGATCTGTTGACCAAGTGTGGGTGAAGGACAGGGAGATATCTAGAATGACTCTTGGTTTCTGGGCTTGGTCACTAGGTAGATGGAAGGGCTATTCCATCTACCAAAAAGAGTCAACATAGGAAGAACTGGTTGGAGGTAAAGGTAGGAAAAAAAAAATGAGTCCTGTTTCAGTCGTATTGAGCTGCAGATATGAATTCACTCACATGGGGACCATCCAAGTGGAGATGACTGACCTATATACTCTGTGTGTGGCCTTCAGCTCCAAGAGACTCAGAATATTGATTTCAGGAAGTAATTTGTGATGATAATGGAAAATACGATTGAGATCATATAGAGTACGTACGGGAAAGTGAAGTAGACCAAGGAAAGGCGCTATGAATGAACAGTCTATTGTTATTGTTATTGTTCTGGTCTTCAAAATTAGTCTCACAACTTAGGATCAGTAGTAACAAATGTCTGAGAAAGATCATTCATGATAAGTCATTCTTTCTGGAAGGTATAATTACATTTTTGCTTTTCCATTATACTTTTTTGGTCTGGCTTATTTATAGTAAACATGCATTTAATACTTTAAAAAATAAAACATGCAAAGTAGTATATGTTATGGTTATATTTTGTGGAAAACTGCTGAATTACATGCTTAGAGAAAGACTTGAAGGAAATGTATCAAAATGTTAATGGAAGTTGGGTAAGGTAATAGGTAACATTTTCTTTTGATCATAAAAATTTTCTATTTGTATAATATACATAAGTTTCTTTTATAATAAAAATTACTATATTAATGTTTTTCATCTAAACAATTAGAGTGTTCTTGATGACCTTAGAATAACATGGAAACAGGAAAGATTCCAATTTGTAATAGATTTGTACAATAAGTACAGTAAGTGAGGAATTGTAGGAAGTGCAGGCACACTGTTCTTGGCTTTAAAAGGAAGAAGAAACTAGTATTAGAGGGAAAAATCAGAAAATCAATAGAGAGGTTTGCTTTTTTACATGGGAAAGATTTTAATAATTCTGCAGGAAAGGGTTAGAGGAGGAGATGGTTGAAGATGGAGAAAGGGGATCATAGAGTGAAACATCTGGGGTACGTCAGAAGGGTCAGGGTCAGTGGCCATGTAGAGCACCGGTGGAACAAGAGCAGAGGCCTCTCTGAGTTAGAGGAGAAGGATGGTTGTAAATGCGGACATGTTTGTAGGTGGGAGGGAATTTATCTGAGTGAAAGCTGGGGGAGTAGCCATCAGATAGCCTCAGTTCAGTGAATTACAAGGCAGGTTCAAGAATCTGATGAAGGTAAAGGGAAGTTGTAGAGAGTTGAAGGAAGTGGTGCTGCTGCTTAAAAACCCCTTATTTGGCCTGGCCAGGTCCTTTTCCTAAATCCTCACAGGAGGTGTCTGTTCCCAACCTAAGGCTTGTGCTTGATTTTCAGATGCAGAGGAATCACTTGGCACGCCACCTCCAGGAGAACACCCAGTCACACATGAGAATGTTGGCCCAGGCTGTTCATAGTTTAAGCCTTGCTTTAACTCCCATTCCTCAGCGGGATGCCTTTGCACGTGATCCTGCCTCTCTGCCTCGAGTTCCCTCACAGGATTTCCAGGAAACCATTCACCAGTTAGAGGGTCGCCTTGTAAGACAAGATCATCAAATCCGGGAGCTAACTGCTAAAATGGAAACTCAGAGCATGTACGTAAGTGAGCTCAAACGGACTATTCGATCCCTTGAGGACAAAGTTGCTGAAATCGAAGCACAGCAGTGCAATGGGATTTACATATGGAAGATTGGCAACTTTGGGATGCACTTGAAATCTCAAGAAGAGGAGAGACCTGTTGTCATTCACAGCCCTGGATTCTACACAGGCAAACCCGGGTACAAGCTCTGCATGCGCTTGCACCTTCAGTTACCGACTGCGCAGCGCTGTGCAAACTATATATCCCTCTTTGTCCACACAATGCAAGGAGAGTATGACAGCCACCTCCCTTGGCCCTTTCAGGGTACCATACGCCTTACAATTCTTGATCAGTCTGAAACACCCATAAGGCAAAACCATGAAGAGATAATGGATGCCAAACCAGAGCTGCTTGCCTTCCAGCGACCCACAATCCCACGGAACCCAAAAGGTTTTGGCTATGTAACTTTTATGCATCTAGACGCCCTAAAACAGAGAACCTTCATTAAGGATGACACATTGTTAGTACGCTGTGAGGTCACTACCCGCTTCGACATGGGTAGCCTTCGGAGGGAGGGTTTTCAGCCACGAAGTACTGATACAGGGGTATAGTCTTCTTTCATTATTTTATATATATGTGTGTGTAAAAAAAAAAACCCTGTCTAGAGAAACAGTGCCTCTTTGTGCCCTTCCTGATAATAATATGCAAGCCAGAAAAGCAGAGGGCAAGCAAGATGTCACACCCACTAGTGAATGTAGTTGAAGAAGGCACTTAGCACTTCTTCCTGTTATAGATGCACCTGAGGGTATTTTTACTTTGGATTCCAGACTGACAGTGCGTCTCAGAGATGTTATGCCTCAAGTGCCTGTGGCGTGTTTCAGCAGCTGTTTTGTCAGTTAGGATACCTCGTTGCTATACTTCATGGACTTTTGCTCTAACGTATTTTATTATCAGAAAGCCCAGAGTCAGACTACTGAAGTTCAAGCCTTTAATAATAATGGACTTTCCTGAAAACTACAGGTTATTTTTATACTGATATATGTAATATATTAAATGTGAGAATCACTACTGTCTTGTGCTGGTGCCAGCAAGAAGAATTATTGCTCTAGAGAGTTGAGTTCTCATTTTATTTGAACTATAATCCTTGGAAAGCTTAAGTTCTCATTTACTCCATTTTTTTTCTCCAGGTGGTTACTAAGGCTATTCAAGGACTAGTTTAAACCCTAAATATAACCTTCCTTATTTAGCAAAAACATATTATGTGTTGAATGATACTTAACTGTTTACTCTGCCTTGCTTCACCTATCTCCTTGGGGCCACAGAATAGCATCTTCAGAGTTTATGATGCTGAGAACCGTGTGGATACCAACTGCTCAGTCTTATGCTCTGTAACCCTTTTTGTCTATTCATCTGTTCATTGGAAGGTGAATTTCACAGCACTGCATATGTCTTTACTTGTTTGATGCTTAAAGGACAAGAGAATGTGCACATAAAATCTCCAACATAAAAATTAAAAGTGACTCAGCTAGTAAACCATTGTCACTACATTGGTGATGGGAAAAGCTCTGGGTGAGCCAGAAATGTTCAGCTCTTTTGAATACCTCTTTGTTTAGTTCATTTAAATGGAAAAAGTTGATTTCCCCCAAACAGAATTTCTTACAACTTTGGTAGGTCATTGGAGGCAGCTGAGAGGTCACAGACTAAGGTTGGAAGTCATAGTGGTTGAATCACAGCTTGGCTTGAGTAGGTAGTCCAGCAATTCTCAAGTGCATCTGTCCTGTGGAATGTTGAAGTGGCCAGATGTTCCTAACAGAGGATTTAGTGCTATTTTTTATATGTGCATATAATGGAACAGAAGGACTGTAGATAGATATCTAATTCTCAAGGAACCCCACAACTACTATAGGCTCTTATTAAGGATCTAACAATCTAGCCACTGTTAGATTTATTTACTCAAGATTACTTAAAGTCTGATAATGAGAGATGGTATTGTGTCTCCAGGGAGGCCAAATCAGAATGCCTGAGTAGGGTTTAAGACCAGAACTAATTTCCAAAGAAAGCTGAAAGACCTTGTCTGTGGAGAAGAGTCTGGTTTTCGGTGTCACTTTGAACTTTCCCTTCCCTTTTCTCTCTACACTCCCTCCCCACTTCACTGTTCGGCTCCTGCTCTGGTGAGTTTGTTACAGAGTGAAAATAAAAGTCAAGCAGAGACCTTGTTTGCCTGTGCCACGTTTAGTGTCACGGCCCATGGCTGGTCACCATGGATTCCCTGGCAGTGTGTCCTTTAGTTATGCTTTCCAGCTAACTCCTGAGAGTCATTGCAATACCACCCTTTAGGTAGGGAAACCTGTACATCTGCTGTTCCTGTCATGGTTTTTTTTTTTAATGAATAAATAATTGTCAAGGTCCATTTAAAAAGTAAAGAGTTACTTTTATATTTGCATAGAAAAAGCCTTAAGGAAATTGACTAAACTTTTTGATGGCTTATTTTCTTCTGCTTTCCTCTATTTTTGACATTTTCTCCAATAAACATGTACTTTTATCAGAGAAAAAAAATGAACTGTTGCCACAAAACATTCAGCCTTCCCCCTGCCCGCCTCCCCCAAAAGGAAATGATATTTAAAAGCTTCCTGGTCAAATTGCTATTAAAAGCATGGCTGTGCATTAGGTACTAAGAGGAGTCATTTCCTGCCTTGGTTATATTATTTTTTTCCACTAACTCAGGAGTCCTAATCAAAACAAAAACAGTTTTTTGCCTAACTTCAACTTTTCTTAAAAGTTTTCCATCTGTAAAATAAGTTGAACTAGATGTTTCTATGGTCCCCTCCAACCATAAAATTCTGTCTTAAGAAATTAAGTTCTAACCAGCAGAACGAACATACTCATTCAATGGTTTCGCCAGAAAAAAATGCCTTTAATTTACTCTTTGCTGACACTTAATACTTTACTTCAAATTAATGTTCATCACTTGGGTCACATCTTAATTTAAATAAGCAATTTTTTAACCCCCAACATTTAGCATTTCGTAACAAACCAACTGGTTATTTTATACTGGTCATTGTGTATATAGAGTAGAAATAAGGGTCAAGCTATCATTCCAAAAAGAAAACTTTAAGACTTAAACTCAGAATCAGGTCTTAACCTGGAAAGCCGGATTCTTCCCTTATATTTATCAAATGTCCTACTCTAATCTTTAAATATGCTAGTTTCACCCGGTTGGTTTGTAAACATTTGGGCTGTGTGTTTATATTTTATTAACCACCTTTCAACATGTTCATCTTTTGACAGCATTCTGGGATACAGCCAAATTTTTTAATGTTTTCCCTTTTTCTGAAGATGTCCAACCCAACGTTGGATGAACCTTACTGCAAGTCATATGTTTTGCAAGTCTGGATGTTGACTTGTAGTTTATTACTATACTTTTTTTTTTTTTTTTGAGTCAGAATCTTACTATGTTGCCCTTGGTAGGGTGCTGTGGTGTCACAGCTCACAGCAACCTCAAACTCTTGGGCTTACGTGATTCTCTTGCCTCAACCTCCTGAGTAGCTGGGACTACAGGCACCCGCCACAATGCGCACCTATTTTTTTGTTGTTGTTGTTGTTGCAGTTGTCATTGTTTTAGCAGGCCTGGGCTGGGCTTGAACCTGCCAGCTTCAGCTTCAGTGTATGTAGCTAGTGCCCTATTCCCTGAGCTACAGATGCTGAGCCAGTTTATTACTTGACTTTGACACCACTGACAGTCTTTGACATACTACATTGTAACTCAACTTTTATTTTTGGTATAAATAGTAGAAAGAAAATAAAATGAAGGTGGATTTTTTACCCTAATGATAGACTTATATAGAGATATTGGATGACCTCTAGCAATTAATTTTTGTGACTGGTATAAAATTACATTCTCCATTACTGTTTTCGTGCCAACAAGTCTTAAACTAAGAGCATGGTTATGAATTGTGCATGCAGTTAGAGTGCATTCTTTTTACAGAAGAGCAATTGTCATTCCTTTACCCAGGGAATCCCCCGCTTTCTGGTGACCTGACAACACTTCAAATGACTAGATTTTTCTAATTTACAAACCTTGAAGTACTTTTCTTCTATTCAGCTACTAATACTGCTGTTTTCTTGGCTTGCCTCAATTGAATTCTCACTCATTGTTTTACATAAAATACCATTAGGTGTTTTTTGTGATGCCTAGTTCCATAGAACCTAAGCATCCCCATTAGGAAATGAAAAAGGAACTATAAATAATTGTATTTTTCTTTTGAAACAGAAGAAAATTCTGTTTCAAAGGAAACAATTTCTTTTTAAATTTTCAGAATCATGATAGAATGTAGTTTCAGAGTTGCTGTGGCGTCTATCGAATGGAGTTGGCATTTCCAAATTTCCAATATCCATCATCCAAAGATGATGTGATGAAATCGGATTGGATGGATCTTGGCAGACTGTAACACTCTAATTACAGCCTTTATTTCTAGTCAAGACAAACACTTGCAAGGAGATACCTAAATTTTCTTTCACTAAATGTCACCTGTGTCCTTAATGTTTTAGAGCTTTTCCTCCCACAAAATCCAGGTTACTATAAAATTCTGGAAAATAATTCTAGATGGGCAAATCCTCTCTCTCAAGTGCTTTCTCCGCAGGACGCTGGCCCTGTCCTTGAAGACAAGGGGGAAGGTGGGGTGTGCTTCTCTGCTCCTGAGGTTTGCAGCTCTAAATGTAGCTTCTTTCTTACTCTTGGAAAATCCACAAAGCAGAACTATAGTTCCCTTCTACACTAGCCCCCAGGAGATGGTAAACTGTGTGTGGTAGAGAGAAGTGTTCCCGTCACTGCTGAGTCCCCTGTACTTAGCGTGGTGCCTGGCACATAATACATATTCAATATGGAACAGTGAGCATTTAATGAAAGCAGTGGTTGAACCTGACCAATTTCTGGTAGCTTATTTGTTGTGTAAATTTTAGGTGGTAAAGCATATTACTTTTTTTGCTTGTTTTCCTCAGCACTTTATTATGAAATTTCCCGAACATGCTGAAATGTTAAAAGACTTGTATAATAAACATCTACTACCTAGCATCTGCAATAACCGTTTTTACATTGGCTGTATCACTTGATATATTGTTACTTCTAATGAGACTTCAACTTTGGTTTCTTTTTAAAAATCTTACTCCTAACATAACTGAATAACTTTAATCAAGTTGTCGTAAATTCTTTGGGGAAACGTGTGACCTTTGTGTTGTAACTGGAATTGTAGTTCTCACTTTCAATTTCTGTACATGTGTTATGCAGGATTTTAATCTTATTTATTTTGCCTGAAAGAGTTATTTTTTTATAATGGATTTATTCGAAAGTCCTTGAATAATTATGCAGAATGTTCCGATGTTATTTTCATACTTGATAAATTGTCCAATTAGTTTCTCTGGTGAGAATGTAATTTGGGACCCATTTTGCTTGTATATAAGATTCAGGGATTATGTTCCCAGAGGGCTGAAGAGGTGATCAAATTTAGTGTGTAGACCACTAAATTAGGAGCTAAGGCAAGTTTTACTCCTGATTGACCATGGGCAAATCAGTGTTGTCTTTGTGTCCATTTATCTTCCTGTGAAGTGGGAACTAGAATTTGAAATTTAGGTATTACTAAGTAATGGGTAACATTTGTTAGTACTTGGATCTATTAAAAAGTATATTTTATGAAGCTAGGGAGGCTTATAATTTTGTAACTATATGACAAGCTATGGAATGAATCTGACTTTTTTTTTTTTTTTTTTTGAGACAGAATCTTACACTGTCTTGTCGCCCTGGGTAGCGTGTCGTGGCATCATAGTTCATAACAATCTCAAACTCCTGAGCTCAAGGGACCCACCCACCTCAGCCTCACAGAGTGCTAGGATTATATGGGGTGAGCCACCACGCTGCCTGAAATCTGACTTTTGAAAATTGAAACAGGCTCGGCGCCTGTGGCTCAAGCGGCTAAGGCGCCAGCCACATACACCTAAGGTGGTGGGTTTGAATCCCCAGCCCGGGCCCGCCAAACAACAATGACGGCTGCAACCAAAAAATAGCTGGGCGTTGTGGCGGGCACCTGTGGTCCCAGCTACTTGGGAGGCTGAGGCAGGAGACTCACTCGAGCCCAGGGTTTGGAGGTTGCTGTGAGCTGTGATGCCACAGCACTCTACCCAGGGGGACAGCTTGAGGCTCTGTCTCAAAAAAAAAAGAAAAAAAAGAAAATTGAAACACATCAGTGATCGAAATATCTTATCAAAAAGCCTGTTGCTTGCCAGCCACATACCAGAGCTGGTAAGTTTGAACCCAGCCCAGGCCTGCCAAACAACAATGACAACTACAACCAAAAAAAAAAAAGAAAGCCAGGCATTGTAGCAGGCACCTGTAGTCCCAAATACTTGGGAGGCTGAGGCAAGAGATTTGCTTAAGCCCAAGTTTAAGGTTTCTGCGAGCTGCGATGCCACAGCACTCTACCAAAGGCAACATAGTGAGACTCTGTCACACACACACACAAAAAAGTCTGTTCCTGCTTAGATGTTAATATAGGCACAGAATTTGTGAGTTATCCTAATCCAGCTGACTCTGAAAAGTAAGTACTTTACAAGAGGAAGTGAGTGAAAGATGGGGGTAAGGCGTATGAATCATAGAAAAACTGAAAATCAGTGCATGAAAGGCATGAAAGGAATCACCCAGATGCAGGACGGCACACTCCACCACTCCCCCCCCCTCCGGCCCCCAGCCCCACATAGCACCTAACACCAGCCCTGCCCCAGCTGGCAGCTTAACCTCCCGGAATACCTTCTATCAGGGTCCCAGGATAAAATTGCAGGACTGGCTGGAAGGAGAAAGGAGGAAGGGACTGGGACAAGCCGAGTCTCTACTACAGTCGGTGGGTAAGTGTAAGCTGATCTTTCTAAACCCAGGTCATAAATGTTGATTCGTGTTTATCTCACAAAGGCATGTGGGGTTTTAGCTTTAGATCTTGTGTGTGTTGTTGCAAGGATATGACCAAAAAGGTGATCTTTGACTTAGTACCTTACAGAATATTTAGAAAACTACAAACACCAAACTGACATGCTACACCCTCCCTCTGTTGTTACTGTATATTGTGCCAATGTTTTCACCCAAAAAAGCACTCTGAATTAAAAGGAAATAGATATATATTAAAATATAAGTGATATCCCAAGTGGTTTGTGATGAAATGACTGCTTTGATTTTTGCTTCGTCTGTGTAACTCACTATGTCAGGAGAGAAGAACAATTAGAGGCACTAGTTTCACTGGAAGTGAAGAACTCCTTCCAGAAATGGTAAATGAGGATTCATTTCAGTCCTTTGTTTAGGTTTTGCCCTGGGGCCTTTAAGACTTCATTTTACAAAACAAAATTGGGCCCAAAGAGACATTTT